TGGCTTTTGGCAGGAGGCTGGACTAGATGACCTCATGTCCCTTCTGCCCTTTTTTAGATGATTCTATATGATTGAAGGGCAATGCCTGAATCTGAATAGACTCCACTGGGTAAAGTTCCCTGATGGAACTTATTTCTCCATTTTGGTTGCAATATTCATTACTAAGCAGTTCTCTTTTTCTTCTTTCATTCATTGCATTTATGATGTAATTTACTCGTTACAGCTCAACCAGAAAAGACAACTACTTCAGTCTCTTCCACTGGAAATCTTCCCTTGAAGAATGCCTTGTAATCAAAAGCTTGTCTAACTTTATCCCAACCAGGCAATTAGTCCAATAAAAGATATCACTCAAAAAAAATCCTTGCCTCTTAAAGAATGAACATTATTGGGAAAGAACTGAAATGTAATTGCTTCTTCCAAACAGTATGTCCTGTTTTCAGTGAAACAGAGAGTGTCCAGGAAATATGCCATCCCTGGAAATAGTTTGTGAGGCAGAAAGAACTTCCTGGTATGGCAGAACATCAACATGGTTAGGTCCCAGTCTCTTACAAGGGCAACATCGAAACTGTAAATAGTTCTTTATATAAGATCCTGTATATGATAAAGTGAACTTTCCACACCTCAAGCCTCATCAAGATAATCCATGCTGCATGCAACAGCTCACTTTCTCTCAGCCAACTCAGTGCCTTTTCAGTAAATGCTTCAGCAATGGTTGTGAGAAGGATAATACTAGATAATACGCTACGTGGTGCTGCAGGAAAAAGTGGTAGCCATCTTGGCAATCATTTTAGCAGCATCTCTTGCTTCTTTTCTTCTTACTTCTAGTCCAACAAAGAAAAATCAGTATCTCCACTTAAGATACACATCCCAGTTTTGGAGGGCTGATTCTAGGCAGAGGAAGGTGCACGTGGTAGGCAAGTAAATATGGTATTAACAGACAGACTACAGGACAATATCAGTTAAACATTCAGAAAGCTAGATCCCTCTGTCACACATACCACTTTATGCTTTTGATCCATGAGAAGCAACATGCTAACTTCTTTGGAGCAGTAAAAATAAATTAAGACAATGAAAAGTACCCTGGTGCAGATGTAAACTAAACAGGGGCCCTAAATTGAAGCAGTGGGTTTTAAAAAGCACCGCTTCAATTTACAGCCAATTAAACCCCCGTGTCGTGCACACACCCCACTTACTTGCCTGCCTCTCTGGTGGGGAGAGAAAGGCAAGCTGCTGGCAGATGGAGTGGTCCCTGGGCTGCTGGGGAGGGGGCTGGTGCTTCCCTCCATGGAAGCGACAGCCCCCGCCCCAGGCGGCACCCAGCCACAGACACTCGGCTCAGGTGGGCCCGGGAGGCACTGCAGCCACAGAGGGAAACACCGGATCCCTATGCCACTCAGGCTGGCAAGCAGGCAGACTCCGGCGGGGGGGTTAGTTTGCTGCGCCCCAAGTCATTTAAGGTGCATCATGCCACCGAATTTCCTGCAGTGGCTGGAATTAATGTGCAATACGCCACCAGATTTATCTTCAAGAGGAGACTGGATAGGCACCTGGCTGGGGTCTTATGACCCCTGCCACCCCCAGTGCTCCTTCCTGCCCATGGCAGGGGGTCGGACTAGATGATCTGTCTAGGTCCCTTCCGACTCACTGATTCTATGATTCTATAACCAAGGTGTGCAAACACTAACACCATTAAAGCATGGCAAAAGCATCTAGCCTGCTTTAAAGTGTGGTGCATACACACCTCTCGTTTCATCTACACACACCCCTGCTAACTCCAACAGGTTTGGAATTAAGCCTGCTATCCCCACCACCAGTCAATAACTGTCCTGTACCTGCATTTGTGAAATTTTCAGAGTCCTACAGCATTAAATGATTTCTTGTTCCAATCTGATGCTATCATTATTCCCCAGATGTCTTGAGAATATAGTTTACAAAATTTATCCAGGATAAGAAATAGCATTAACATGAAATTTCACACCTCAGATTGGTCTGGGATGAGCTTTTTCTTTTCAGTTTTCTGGCTGTGGGTTTGTTTTTTTTTGTTTTTTCAGATTATGTCTGTCCTTCCTAAAGCTAAAATTTGCCCTAGCAATTTTAGCAGGGGGAGAGTTATGAAAGAAGCAAACAATCTTTTAGCAAATAGCCAACTCTTAACCTGTCATTTGTTCGAACTATGAGTTTATTGAAGGTTAAACTACCAAGTTTTAAAGTAATCCCATACAGTTTCCAGAAAAAGCATATTACGAGGTAAAAGTTATAATGAAAGAAGCAACAGATCTCAAATATTTCAAGGGGATTACAAAATAAAATCTCATGCTATGCTCATGTAAACAGTGGAGAGCCTCATAATTAATGGATAGCAAACTGTACAACAGATGAGGAATTATCAGACTGAATTAGAAATCCAAATCTCATTTGCTATAAAAACAAATGGTTCTTTGTTCTTGAAAAGAAAGTTGCTAAGATGGTGCAATGAATCTCTTTTCTGCAATCAAAATTCCTTAGGTTTAAACTCATTCCTGTGGCCTTATTACCTAGGCATTGAACATTTCAACATTTTGTGAAATTACTTATGTATCATGAAGACCATATCAAACAGCTTTATGACGTTAAAGTGACTCAGAACTACCTCCCTCCTGCAGATACAAGGACGAATGTTAACACTCTGTAACATTTTTCAAGTAGTGCTGGAGAAAACATTCACATTTTTTCTCTTGGGGCATGTCTACGCTGTTTCTGTGGTAAGCCTGGGAATATCAGCAATAAACACTTCCTGCCCATTTACTCCCCCTCTAGGCACAAAAATGCTCAGAAACTAAACAACATAGATGGTTAACTGTGGCCCAGTGTGCACTAAGAATCACACCAGAGCTTGGGTGTGGCTCAGGATTGCGCTGAACCAGCTATACTACCTATTTTGGGGGCTTTTGTGCATGCTGACCAAGTGCGAGAGAGTCGTGCTTCTTAACAGTGCTCCGGGACTTGCCACACAGGCAAGGGTACACAAGACACGTAACACTAATTCTCAAATTCCAGGATCTAAGCTGATGACAACTGCATACAGTCTATGCTATTCCTTTTTTGTATGTTATTATGCAACACGATTGTAATAACGTGGCTAAAGATAAGACAGGCACTTGCATCCAGTTTAGATCACCACCATCCTCTGAATGAAATTACAACTACTCACCTGCATATTACTGGCCTGAAAATGCTCACCAGGGAAATGGACAAACACACATTTTAGCCCCTTCAAAAAGGGGAGGCAGGGCAGTTGCTCAGAAGTTATGATGCAAATCAGTAGTTATGATGCAAATGTTACAACTGCAGGATCCTAATAAACGTTAGCAAAACAGTCCTACATTTGACCTTGAATGAAGCAGGTTTAAAGTTGGAGTACTTTTGTTACAATTGTATCAGTAAGTAATCACGCAGTTGTAACAGTTGCACCATAACAACTTATAATGATATATTTTGAGAGCAATTCAGTCATTTTCTTTGTTTATAACCCAGGATTCCCTCTCTCACGTGGAAGCTAGAGCTTTCAGAAGAGGAAGGTCTAAAATCTCCAATATCATTATAGACCTCTGAGCAGGTGTGATGTGTGGCAAAGCGACAACCATTAATTTATTGCAATACTGATGCAATAGGTAGAACTGCAACTGTGGCTTGACTGCAAAAGTTAAGCCAGATATATGTAAAACTTCCGCACTGAACTTCAAACCTGTTGAAAGTAAACCTAGACTGGAGGTTGAATGTGCTACAACATGCACACACATTCTCTTTAACTCTTCTCCAACTATCTCTTCAAGTAACACCTCTCCTCCTCTCACACTTCTTCATCCATATTGAGAAAACCCCACATCACCATAATTAGCTCCCTTCAGAAAAGTATTAGAGATTGTTTTGAGGGGATAGGCAGGGCAACTCTTGAGAGGGACAGGGGAATTTTCCTTACTAAGGTTCTAATCTATGAAACCAAAACATCCCAATAAATCTTCAGTGTTTGGCTGGCCTCCAAATCTTCAGAGCTTGAAATCCAATCATAAATAGCTCCTATGCCCTAATTACAATAATTCCTCTTAATTTCCTATGAGATAAGAGGGCACATCTCTCTTCTCATGTATAAATAAAAGCAGCCTCCATATGAATGAGCATGAATTTTGCTAAGAGTAGAATTTAATTGAGAAGCATTCTGCATCTCTCAGGTTAGGTGCAGGTCTTAGATATATGATATGTTCATGGGTGACAGGAAAATTATGCCTTACAGCTGCAGAAATGTGTAAATCCCTCATTAGGTTTAATGATTATCTATTAGAAAGGTGGCTTCACAAAGAAAAGCTTTCTTATCAAAAAGCAGAAATGACATAGTGAAGCCATGTTTCAGCTGTATTATCACAGAACTCTCTGAATTAGTTCATCAGCCCAAAATTATTCTACTTGTAAACAGATGGTGCATAAAGGCAATACTGTCCAAAATGTATAGATAGGATGTGTTATAGGAATGCAGTTAGGCAGCTGAATAATTGAGAATAGACTGCATTTCCAGACTTGAGCTCCAGTGAAGCTAAAATTACATGCGAGAGAACACAGAAAATGAAGAAAGAAAGTCACCTCCATCAAACATTATAAAACTAAAGGAATCGTGGTATTCAGTCAAGAAATTACAAATTCAGGCTTTGCCAGGTAAAAAAAATATGATTAAGTAATGAATGACATTCTCTAGGCCTCATGTAAGTAGTTGTCCAAATACACGCAAAGTGGTCCTGGGTTTAGTGAAAGGGACATTACACTCTGAGAAGAAGAAACCCTTAAGAAGAGTCCACTTTCCAAATACAACGATAACACGGCCTCACAGGTAAACAAAGTTTATACAAGAGTAGGAATAAAACAGACCATTACAAATTGCTGTTAGTACTTAGAAAGCCCTGACATGCATAGAAAGCTTCACAAAAGCCAAACCATACCTTTGTTTAAAAAAAAGTACAAATGTTGCCACATTAATTTACACAAGAAATCAACTGGTTTATTATATTCACATATTTACAAAATATTACAAATTGCATTACTGTACTAAGTGACAATAAGGTCTCAACACAGGCAAAAGAAGGCATATGTAGAAGCAGAGGCTTGGAATATTTACTAAGTCTTTGGTTTAAACAAATGCAATTTAAAATGCAGCATTAACTTGTCCAATACAGGGCATTCAACAAAGATGCATGGATTTATACCATGAAAAAGATGTTTAGTTATGGCTTTAATTTTTCTCCAAGGTAAATGGCTGAACCCCTGGCTTGCCAAAAAGCCTACAGCACGGCTTATCAAACTTTAAAAAATTAAACTAAGTTATTGAACATACCAGATGTGTTTCCTAATTTGTATCAAATTCAACTGCATCTCTTCAGAACTATATGACTGCAAAGCACAACACATTTCATAGACACTACTCCTCTACCCCTTAAGCAGGCAAAATTGCCAAAGAATCAATTTGGTCCACTTAAGGAGCACAGGATCAGGCCCACAAATACTACTGCATAGCAGCACAGAACCAAAGGCAATATTCCCCCAGACTAACTAGCTGTACAGATCATTTTATAAAATACGTTGTAGGAATTATTTACATACTTACAAGTTCTCTGAACTGGTTCCATCAAACAACATATTCAATGAAATCACAGTTTACCTAATTTTGAGGTAAACTTTCTGAAGCAAAAGAACATCAGCAGGGGTTCACAAATAAGACTGGAACTTACCTTGCTTTCTGCAAGACTTACTTTACCCTCACTTGGCCCCAGACAACAGTGCCTGAATCATGCAGCACTTTGGTAGAAAAGCTGCTGTGAGGGAAGGGTCCTACTGAAAAGATTCTATCCTTTGAATGGGACTTTTAGCCTGACCTCAAATAGGCCAGCATGAAGTAGGGAACAGAAAGAAGACAGGGTTTGCAATAGGGCTTGTGCAATGGGACTTGTGCAGGTCCCATTCTGTGGAAGACCAGTGGAAACAATCAAGTCCATCATATGGAAAGAGAGCTGCAAAGGAGCCACACTGCTAGTCCAACTGCAATGTGTGTGCATGGGTAGACTCTCCAGCTTCATTCAGTGGAAGGAAGTGGGGGAAATATTACCCTCAGGAAAAACAAAATATAAAATCTTAAACTGCGGGTTATCTCCAACTTTAAAGTTAAGAAATATTCTACATATTAAAAATTGCATACTCACACCTGCACAACGACACCAATCTCATCGCAGCCTTCCCTTATATACATCAGGACTTTCCAAGTTTATGAAAATGCTAACTTGCAAAGGACAGATGCCACTTTGCCATGCCTGATGCCCGAGGTCACAGCCTTTCAAGCTAATATTCCTTTATATACACTTAGTATAATATGGAAGGAAAGCTCACTACACTGCATTGCCACCAACTTTACCACCACTCTACCTAAGTAACCATCAGAATTGGTGTGCTGGGAAACAGGAAGAAATCCTAGTAAGCTTCCTTTATCTTGCCCTAATGACCAAAGACAGTTCATGCTAGATCAGTGGTTAACAGTGATTTCAGCAGATGGGCTGGAATGACCCATCTCAGGTCCAAGGTGGGTTGGCACCAGTACCTGGGTACCACCACCGCTGCTGCTTCTCCCTACTACCTAGCTGTTGCACTGGCAAAGTCCCAGGCCACAGTACAGGCACACCAACTGGCTGTAGCAGAGGCCACGCACCCCACTGCCTGGCCACAGGGGGGCAAAATCTCCTGCTCTGTAAGTCCCAAATCCCATGGCTCCAGGCCCAATTCAATGGTTACTACTGGCTGGATTCAGCCTGTGGGCCACAAGCTGCCAACCCCTGTGCTAGATGTTAAGGTGATGCATACTCCAAACCTGTTAGCAAAAAACAAAGGGATGAAAAAGCCCATCACAAAGACCCAAGGAAACATACCTCCAAAACCCCAAAATGCAAATATAGCAGGACCAGTGGTGCAGATGTAAAGTGAGGAATAATCTGACCTGCAAAATTTTTAAATTAATGGTGACGTACAAGCTCTAACAGAACCATATCACATCATGGCAACATGTGCCTGCATTTATAGGGTCAGCTGCTTACTTGAAAATTGAAAAAAACATCAGTTTGGGAATCACAGAGACAAAAACTCCACAATCCTATTTTACAGACAGTTCTTCAAGAAATACCATGTCTTAGATAACACTACACTTTTTTTGTTTTATAACTGCTGTCAAAACAAATAGAAAATTTAAACAGGACCTCAAAGTAGTCAGCTAAAACCAGCTTCGTGCACACCTTGAAATGAAGACTATTCATATTCACTTCAGTAGTATTTTCTTCAAAACAGTTCACTGTGTTTATGGATGTTTTTAAGTTGATAAGTAAGGATGCTTTAATGCTTCAAAATAAGTATACTGAATCAACTTTATGCCCACCAGCATGACTGAACACTCATTTTCCTGTATGCAGTGATAAGGTATAATAAGCATCTACTTGTACCATCAGAAGTGTTCACTCCTACGGAAAAGAGGGTTTTAAAACATTTACCAATAGCTAGTATTCACTGTGTGCTACCAGATGAAATGAAAAGGAACATAAAGAAATCTGTTTTGCAGAGGTCTTCAGGGAAGATGAAGTCTGGGCTTTGTACTGGTCCCTCATGATAGCAAACTGGCAGGTTGTTTCTTGAACAGCTCTGGGCAAGCCATTAATCTGTCAGCACAAACTTCGGTAGAAATCCGAACATTAAGACCGGAGGGTTTGGACAGACAGAACTGCTGCTTAACAAGACCAACAGCACGTTGCAGAATTTATGTTGTACAGTCCCTGAAATTTCTGTTCAATATAACAAAGTGAGTGTTTAAATCATTCATCCTCTTCAACATACGTTGATGGAAACCAGCCAACCTAAAAACAAGGAGAAAAAGCAGAACAAAATGATACACAGGAGGCTAATGAGACAACACCATTTTTTCCAAACACCTAATTAACCAAAACAATGATAGTTCTGCTGAGCAGACAGCAGGATAAAAGTATAAACTTGACTGACCTGCCAGAGCACTTATTTAGGATAATTCAATCAAGCAAGGCCAAATTATCAGTACTAAAATTTGGAGGTTGTAAACTGAATATCAGAACCATTTTTGAGGTAGATTAGAATTAGATGATGATCACTGTACCCCAAAGAACTAAAAGGTGGAATAAGAAAAATAAGAGCAGAAACAAGGTGGTTCATCTAGACTGCAACAGTGGCTGTTCCTAGGGAGGACTTGGTTGACCATGCCTCACCACCTGGGTCTAAGCATACTTCAGACCTGGAAGTGACTGGTGAGACTAGCCCTCTCATGACCCTGCTGGAGACAGAGATCAGGAGTGAGCACTGGGGATGAGCTTGAGTAATCTCACTGGTGAGATTCCAGGTCTATAGTGCATCAGTGGATTCAGGTACATGGGGTGTCAGCGGGGCACACTTAGCACCTTCCTCCTCAGGTCCTACTGCAGACCTCTTAGTAGAGGCAGAAAACTGTTGCTCCCATTTTGGAAGTGGAGGTAACGGGCATTTAAGCACTCTGCAAGGCCACAGTCAAGGCCACAAGTCCATATTCCCACTGCTCCACCAGAGTGAAAAAAAGGAATAAGTCTACATGCTCTAACTCACGATGCAATCAGGAAGACTTTTCCAGGAGAGAGAATTTCAAGGCAGAGCCCAATGTTTTACACACTTTAGAAAATCTAAAGTCATCTTCCCAAAATTAATGATGCCCTAAATTTAAGGAACATGTTATGTATGGCAGTCTTTTGGGCATCTTTTCACTGTTCTTTTATATTTTTCATTCAGACTCTTCTAATTTAATTATTTCACAACTATGAAAGAAGGCAGACTGTTCAATTTGAAGACCATAAATCTAACAGAGCCCAACAAGAAAAGTAACTACGGGCTCCATCATGAACCCTGTTCTGGATATACTTATCTATAGAGATGAGATGAGAACATGCCAAATCTGTTCTGCTGAGGCTGCCGAAACGAATGCCGGTTGACTGTTTGTTTGTTTTTTTTAGGAGGTGGATATTGATTCACTAAGACTGGAATAAGAGCAACCATTTCACACTGCATATTAAGCCATCAAAAAGAGTTTAGGTTTCCATGTTCCTTTCAATCTAAAGTGTTCCTGTCATGTACTCTAGCAGCATGGACAGACAAAATGACAGCAACCTCTTCAAACAGCACAATGCTCTAAATCCCAACACTCTCCCTACCCATCAAATTCAATGGGACTAACAACTTTCATTCCCAAATACCACCCTAATGAACTTGCACCCTCCCTCCCCTAAATCAGGTGAACTTTGTGGCCTAATTTAAAAACCCTTGCCATCTAAACCAGGTGATGTTGTCCTGAGCACTTCATTTATTTGTGCTGCAGAACAGTGGTAGCTCCTAATGGGAAACTATTAAGTTCATAGGTCAAAAATGACACCTTGAATTGGTGCTGGGAACTAATTAGAAACCAATTCTAGGGTTGTGAAACACACACCAAACGAGAAAACAACTAAAAACACTCCTTGATAGCCAGACATTTAATAACAGCCAAATATTCAAGACTCTCAGGTAATGACCCTAACCAAGCATAAGCAATTCAAAGCAGCTGATATTATTCTATTATTTTTCCTGACTACTTTCCCCAAACAGTCTTATGCAAACTGAACATCAACCAGTTAGGTCTCAACTGAGACCCTCATTCAGTTAGATATTGCAAAAAATGATCACGCATTCTGTGTGCTTGAAACAGATCATTACACCAGACATATTGTGAGACAAAGAGTACGAAAAAGGTGAATGAAGATGGCAAAAAATGGAAACACCTACCCTTCCATTTGCTTCACCTCTCCACCAGCCATTTGCGCTTGTCTTTGTGTAAATTTTTACCACATCACCTTTAAATAAGGAAAGTTCTCTCATGTCTCTTGCACAGAAGTCATACCGGGCTATGGCTATGCCTATAACTTTTGGACTTAACACTGAAATTGAACACAAGAAATCAATGTTATTACAGTTTCTTAACCCCAGACTAACTGATTAAGGTGAATGATATCAATATTATTATAAAATTAACAAGGATTCCATGACAATATAAACTAGGAATAATTTGCATGCGACTAAGAAAGTAACTATGCTAATTAGAGAGAAGGAGACGCATTCTTTATTAGTTAATTCAATAGGAGTTTGGAGGATTATGTAGTTTGTAGATTTTAAAAAAATGTGATCCAGTTGAATGAAAATGCTACTAAATCAAAAATCTTCCCAAGGATTCCTAAAAAATTGGAAAGTTATTACATTGTTGTATGTTATAATACATTTGGCTGCAAGGTATGTACGTCAACATATTTTACAGGTCACTAGTTTGTTTCCAAAGAGATTATTAACATTTCCGCTTGATTTCACTTTAAACCTCTAATGAGGCAAAATAAACAGAATAAGGCAGTGTTCTTCCAATAACGACTTTGAAGTCAAATATTAATTCGTGTTATCTGCTGCAGACTAACTCATTCCAACTCAAATCAACAAAAAAGTACTCAAGTTTCCACAGTGAGTGAGTGTTTTTATCTGTTGTGTGACCATTGATTGTGTAAACCCAGGCTTTTTTGCAGTTTATGTTATCAGACATAAAACCTGAGCACAGTTTACCTTTTTTAAAATAAAATCCCACAACAAAGAAAATATGCCACAATTCAACAAGGTACCTAAAGTGTCTAGTTTAAATAAAATTGATGCTTAAAAAGCTTAAAATTATATACATATTTAAATAGCTTGTTGAAGTGGAACTTAAATGTTTTAAATTATATAAAAATGTTTTCAAACATTTTTTAACCACACAGGTGCAAAAGCTGCATGCAACTAAAACCAGCTTTGAATTGAAGCAAATTAATCTTCCCCTTATAAAGTCTTACAAAATTAATTCCTGCATGATTCTAATCACTTTCAATTCCTAATAGAAAGCAAAGGAGCAAAGCAACTTAAAGGACTAGAACTGCAATTTAAATATTTTAGAAAAAAATATTCATTGACTTATATGTTTGATTTTGATGCTGGCCCAGTAACCAACATCTGCCAAAGCCTTAAGGTACTATATGTAAGTGACATGAAAATAGCATTTTCAATTGATACAGTTTTTTGGTTTTTTTAAAGCTGGCTCCCCACATAATCAGCTGGGTCTAGACAGAAACTGGCCATTTGGAAACTGGATCAGGAAGGGTAAAGCCCCTATGAAAAAGATTCTGGTTTTATGTTGGGTATATGGCAAACAATGAAGATGCAGAGGAATGTTCACTAACATCCCCGTTCTCAGAACTATATAGAAAATAAAACCTATTTCTAACTAAGGTTTCCCAGAGATCTTCAGGAATTGCACTTACATTCTATTTTGAAAACTTCGAGAATTTAATGGTAAAGGATCACAAGAAAATGCTGCTTAAAAATAAGGAACACACAGGAGATGGCATATACACTAGGAACACCTAGACAGCTATGACAAGACAAACCATTGCAGTCTTGCTGCATATATTTTTATGTGATATGGGTTGTGGCTTCATAAGGAACAAAGAACAAATATTTGACATAAACAGCAGCTATACAGTAACAAACACTGTGCAATCAAGTAATTGTAACTTCTAGAAGCGTTTGATATGAATAGCAGCTTTTACTTAACAGCAAGCTGTGCATTCAAATGATCATCACACATCAGTGATTAAAGCAAATACCTTAACCTTCGTGTCTAAAAATGAATTATGCCCTTGTTTTAACCATAACATCATAGCATTCTATAGCATTTGCAGAGTAAGTATACTGCAGTACTTAGGTATATAAAAGAGAATTAGCAACTTGATTTATGGCTCATGTTCACAATATGAAGAAGCTGTAGATTAGAATGTAGGCCACTGATATAATACATTACTTGCACTCTAGTATGTCAAGTACCATAAGCTCTAGTATCCACATTATATCAGATACCTTAGCAGGACTACAGCAAGAATAGCTGGCAGTGGGGCAGCAGTATTTGATTTTGCAGACAACAGACACAATCATTCTATTTTGGGGGGAAAGGGAAGTAGCAGCAGTTAATGTTATGGGGTAAGTAATTGATTTTGGAGGGTGAGAATAGCAATAACTGATTGGTAGGGAAGGGGAGAAAAACAGTTTCGAGACATAAGGACCAATAAGTAATATTGGGAGCAGGGGGGCAACTTTGGACTCTAGAAAGGGGCTATGAGCTGAGTTTAAAGAGGTAAAGTGAGACTGAAAAGTAAGGGACAAGGAACAAGATGGGGTAGAGAAGGGAGAGAGATGTGGCAATGGGGAAATCGATGGAAGAAAGTGGGATGAACAGAACTAAAAAGATGAGAAAAGCAGTGAATTGTAATACAATATTGGAGGAAATAGGAAAGAAAGAGGGGCAGAATTGGGCAGAGAGAGGAATCTTGCAAAACAAGCTAGGGGAGGCATTTTAAAAAGAGAAAAGCATAATTAGAGAAGAGGAGAAAATAGAGCAAGGCAGTAAGGTAAGTGGGAAAAGGTGAAAAAGATGGACCTTGGGAGGCATCATTTGGGAGGGTGGGGGAATAAGTGAAGGGTGTCAACCTGTTCCACTGATGGTCCTATACACAAACAAGAAAGGGCCTAGTGGACAGAATACATCAAGCCTTAGGTACCAATCCACACAGTGAAAATGGGTCAGCATGTGGGCTAGGGAGAGAATATGTAAGGCACCCTTACTCACCCAGAATAGTCAACTGCCCATGCTGAGAGATGAAGATTCACATCTGTCCCAATTCACACCTGGGACTTGACCACTGATACACCTCATGCTAACCTAATGAACAGCCGATAGCCTGGCAATCAGGGCATTCTGAAGTGACTCTCCCTCTCTTGTTGCAGATGTTCTCCTTGTCATAAATAGCAAAGATTCATTCACAGACACAGACGCACATAAGCAGCCATAGCCTGCATGCTGCATGTAGAGCAGCACCACACTGGTAAGTCTGTAGAGGGAGGGGTGGAGGAGCAGAACGAGGCATCCACAGTGAGACAGGGAGTGAGGCAGGGGCAGGCACTGTGGAGGATGGGGCCTCAGGGCAAGGACAGGTCATGGGACAGAGCCATGGGAGGCTCATCCAGAGGCACAAAGGGTGAAGGGGGTGTGTGGCTCCACGCTGTTCTGTACATCCCTGGGAGAGGCATGGGGAGCGTGCGCTACCCAGATTTTTGCACAGGGTGAAGGCAGGCTGGGGCTGGGGCTCTGTGTCCTGCTGCCTTTGCCCTGGGAGCCATGCACTGGCCATGCTGTGCATCCCCTGCCCACCTGGCAGTGGGAGGCACAATATGGTGTCACACAGCTCCCCAAGCAAAGGCATCAGGATGTAGAGTGCCAGCCCCCAGCAGGCAGCCCACCTCTGCCCCACTCACAAATCCAGAGGGCACATGTCCTTCATCCCTTCCCTGGGGGGGCACACAGTGGCGGGGAGCTGCCCCCTCCCATGCCCCTACATGAGCCGCCTACGGCTCCATCCCATGACCCACCCCGGCCCCGGGTACCATTCAACCCGGCACCTGCCCCTGCCCCACTCCCTCTCTCACTGTGGGGGCCTCAATCTGCGCCTCCCCACCCCTTCAATCTCCCCCTGCACAGACTTACTGACATGGTATGCATGTGTGCGTGCATGTCCCTCACTCCCAAGCCCTAGCCGCCCCCCCAGCCCTGCTGCTCCCCTTCCCTCACTCCTGACCCACAGTACCCCGCATCCTGCCAGGGTGCATGGGAACCCCTAGCTCCAAACTCCACACACGCACCCCGCAACCCCCCATACCTTCACACATTCCCCCCCACACACACCACACCCACCCCAACCATACAAAGTACCTGAATAATTTTGAGCTTATCTGTGCATAATTTTGAGTTTTTAGCTGTCCAATTAAAATTGTGACTAATTGTGACTATTTTTTTTTATCGCACAACTAACTGTGATCACATTTTTTAGTCACTTGACAGCCCTACTATAAACCCTTAATTATTTGTGCAAATAACACCAGCAGAAGTGACTGAAAGAGACCCACCGTGGAACACAGAGTAGTCTCGTGGCCAGAGCATTTGACTTGAATGCAAGATACTGAGGATCAAGTCCCTGGCCTGAAATCAGTGAAGACTT